CTTTTTTTTAAGGAGAATTAAAACAATTATTTTGTAAATTCTTAAAAGAGAATTTACAGGTGTTTTGGCTTTCATAATTAAACTTTATTTATTTGGCTGCATTTATTTGATAAAAATACACTACAAACAGTAATATTGTGAAATATTATTACAGTTTAAAATAGTTGTTTTCTATGTGAATATCTGTTAAACTGTAATGTATTTCTGTGATGCGCAGCTGTATTTTCAGCATCATTCCTCCAGTCTTCAGTGTCACATGATCTTCAGAAATCAGTATAATATGCTGATCTGCTGCTCAACAAACATTTCTGATTATTATCAACGTTGAAAACAGTTGTGCTGCCCAATATTTTGTGGAAACCATCATACATTTTATTTTTCAGGATTCACAGATAAATAGAACATTCAAAAGAACAGCATTTATTTCAAATAGAAATCTACTGTAACATTATAAATGTCTTTACTGTCACTTTTGATCAGTTTGCATCCTTGCTGTAAATCCAGGTGTGAAAAACTTGTTGCCTCTTTCCCAAAAAGACTCATGGCTGTATTCGATCAAAAGGGTGCTTCTACTAAATATTGAGCAAAGGGTCTGAATACTTAGGACCATGTGTTATTTCAGTTTTTCTTTTTTAATAAATCTGCATAAATGTCAACAATTCTGTGTTTTTCTGTCAATATGGGGTGCTGTGTGTACATTAATGAGGAAAAAAAATTAACTTAAATGATTTTAGCAAATGGCTGCAATATAACAAAGAGTGAAAAATTTAAGGGGGTCTGAATACTTTCCGTACCCACTGTACATTTATTTTGTGTACTGTAGATTTGTGTGAGTTTTGGCACTAATGTTGGTGTGTGGAGGAGCTTCATGCAGGGATGATGTGTTCAGATGCTGTCTAGTTAGGCAGCTCACTAGGGTTTGTAACGGAGCTGCTGTACTGTCGTTCCTTCAGTGCCACCCAGACATCCAGACAGAGAGGCTGATATGAAAGGACAAGAAACACGGTTCCTGTTCGCAGGTATGAGACGAGAACTCACATCTTGGCACAGTGTATGTGGAGTGATGGCGTCTCTGCAGTGTGTTGTGGGGGATTCGAGTGGGGGACTCGTTGAGTTTGGCACAATTAGTGGCCATTCATGCTGACACAGAGACAGAAGCTGCTTCACAACTACACAAACTAATGACACCACTGAGCAACCAACCACGTCACTGACAGAGAGCAGATATTCAACTGATTTTAGCTTGTTATGTTCACCTGAAGATCTTGATTCTTAACAATATCAGTATCTTCTCCTGTAATTGATACAGGATTACATAGAAAGACTTGAGAACACTAAACTGTGAATGAATCGCAGCAGCTCTGGCAGTTTTGTGTGTGGTATTTCAGCACAAAAATCGTGCATTTTATTCACTAACCATCTGAAATCTCGTTTAATGGCGCTAGCAGGCTAATACTCTGAAACAGCGCTGTGCCATTAGCATTAATAAAGTCACTGGCATTTTTTTCAACACAACAAGTCTCATTTATTTTAGGCTCATTACAGATCGTGCCTTATTCACAGAACTCAGCACTATTTGCCTACTGCAATTAATGGTGTGCTATTACTGTCAGGTGATAAACAGAATTTTATGTAAAATAGCTGTTTGTATACAGCAGTAATTTACCAAATGTCACGTCATGTGCGTGAGATGAAGTCTAGAGCACATTCAACATTTCACTGAGGCCATCAGGTCTGAATGATGCTCTGGGCTCAGTAAAGTATGGCAGATTGTGGTAAACCGTGTTCGCATTTGTGCTCTTAACTGATTAGCGATATTCTTTCGTTACATCAGGTGGCAGAATAATGCAGAATGCAGTTTATCTGAGCTGTAGGCGGTCACATGGGGTCTGTTTTGATTTCATTTTCTTGCCTGTTTCAGTTTCTCGTTTCTCCATGTAGTTAATAGGTTCTCACACCTGTTTTGATGTACCTTGATTACACTCCTCTGTCTGTTTAAGCCCTCAGTTTCCTGTGTTAGTCCAGTATATTTTATGTGCTTCTGTCTCCTAATACAGGGAGTACTGGGCTTTATCACAAAAACAAACAACAAAACAACATGTAACATAGGCAGGGTCAGAAATGAACTTTTCCATTAAGGGGTATTTGATTTTCTGAGGCATTTGGCATTTTCAAATGTTATAATTGCCTTATTAAATATATTTTTTTTTGTCAAATATTATGTCAAATTTAATCAACCACTATACTATATTGTAACGAGGGAGGCATCGTGACGGAATAGGATGCACATGCAAGGCTTTATTATTAAGAGCGTGGTCAGAATAGGCAGGGTCCAGTAACAGCAAACCGTTATATCCAAGACGGAGGCAAAAGAGTAATCCAGATAACAGGCAACGGTCAGAGCAGGCAGCAAACAATCAGAATCAAGGAAACAATCCAGAGTCAAAAACAAGCAAGGCAAAAATAAGAAAGTCGTAAAACAAAGAACACGTGGGGAAACTAGGAAAACATTCAAATCACCAGCGATGTGAGTGTGTGTGTGTGTGTGTGTGTGTGCCATTCTTATAGTGTGAGACTGATGAGGTGATGAGAGACAGCTGATTGCAATTAATGATGAGTCCGGGCAAAGGATTATGGGAAATGGAGTCTGGGGTGAGTGGTAAAGGGTATAGGATGGGGTGCCCTCTAGTGGAGCTCATGGACACTCCAGCTAGAGATCGTGACATATATAGAATCAGAATCAGAATGAGCTTTATTGCCGGGTATGTTTACACATACGAGGAATTTGTTTTCTTGACAGAAGCTTCCACAGTGTTACAGAATGACAGTGACAGAACAAAAAAAATAAATAAATAAAAAATAGAACAAGTAAAATAAGGAATAAAAAATATACAAATTGACAGTTGTATGTACAGGTATATTATCATCTCCACTGTTTTGAGCGTGTTGAGCTCCAGGTTGTTGAGACTGCACCAGACAGCCAGCTGCTCGACCTCCTGTCTGTAAGCAGACTCGTCACCGTCCTGAATGAGGCCGATGAGTGTGGTGTCGTCTGCAAACTTCAGGAGCTTGACAGAGGGGTCTTTAGAGGTGCAGTCGTTGGTGTACAGGGAGAAGAGCAGTGGAGAGAGAACAAAACCCTGAGGAGCTCCAGTGCTGATCGTATGGGTGCTGGATGTGTATTTTCCCAGCCTCACTAGCTGCTCTCTGTCTGTCAGGAAGCTGTCGATCCACTGACAGACGGAGGTGGGACGGAGAGCTGCGTTAGTTTGGGCAGGAGGAGGTTTGGGATGATAGTGTTAAAGGCCGAGCTGAAGTCCACGAACAGGATCCTCACATAAGTCCCTGGTCTGTCTAGATGTTACAGAACATAATGCAGTCCCATGTTTACTGCATCGTCCACAGACCTGTTTACTGTGTAGGCAAACTGAAGAGGATCCAGCAAGGGTCCAGTATGTCCTTCAGGAGGGCCAGCACCAGTTTTTCAAAAGACTTCATGACCACAGACGTTAGAGCCACAGGTCTGTAGTCATTAAGTCCCGTAATTTTGGGTTTCTTTGGGACAGGGATGATGGTGGAGCGTTTGAAGCATGAAGGGACTTCGCACAGCTCCAGTGATCTGTTGAAGATCTGTGTGAAGATGGGGGCCAGCTGGTCACCACAGGATTTCAGACAGACTGGTGTAACACAATCTGGGCCTGGTGCTTTTTTCCTTTTCTGCTTCCGGAAGACCAGGCGCACCTCGTCTTCGCTGATCTAAATTGCTCTTTTCCAGTGTGTATTTAGCCTGTTTATACAAGACATTGTCCCCCATCCTGTGAGCATCTTCTTTGGCCTGACAGAGCTGTCTGAGTTTTGCAGTGAACCATGGTTTGTCATTGTTGTAGGTTAAATGAGTCCTGGTAGGAATGCACATGTCTTCACAGAAACTGATATAAGATGCTACAGTCTCTGTGAGCTCGTCTAGATCGGTGGCAGCAGCTTCAAAAACACTCCAATCAGTGAAGTCAAAACAAGCTTGTAAATCCTGCTCTGCTTCATTAGTCCATCTTTTTACAGTCCTTAATACAGGTTTAGCTGATTTCAGTTTATGCATGTAGGTCAGTATAAGATGAACCAAACAGTGATCAGAGAGCCCCAAAGCTGCCCGTGGGACAGAGTGATATGCATTCTTTATTGTGGTGTAACAGTGATCCAATATATTACTGTCTCTGGTGGGACATGTGATGTGCTGTCTGTATTTTGGCAGTTCACGGGAGAGATTGGCTTTATTAAAGTCCCCGAGAATGATTAAAACAGAGTCCAGGTGTTGTTGTTCTGTTACTGTTACAAATCAAATTTTCAAATAAAATAAAATTTTCTTTAGGTGGAACAGCATTTGTATCCAACATGCATTTATGTTTATTTGCACAGATTGTTTAATGCTACTCATGTACATGCATTTACACAAAAATTGCATAATATAGCCTATAAATGAAAAAAAAAACATTATAATTGCTCTTAATATTGTAATAATGTTGAGTAATAGAAAGCTTGATATGCTGTAGCATGGAAAAACAAAAAGCATGAAGCTGAAGCACTGAAGCTGCAAAATCTATCTGTTACTTCCATCTTTTCTGCACTTTGTTGTTTATGATGATGAGAGCAGAATTCAGTCAGTGAGCACACACGCTCTCCACAGTGACGAATGAAAACACATTCGACATTGCAATTATAAGCTCAACAGAATCATGTGAGATTGGTTTTAATGCTCAATGCTGCAAATCGCATGCAGACAGAAATCATCAAGCAGCGTGAGCACATCTACTGTAAATGTGATGCCGCAATCCACACGTTTCATTCGCTTACACATTTCACTGTCATCATGACAGCTGTAACAGGTCTAGTTGAATTATGCTGGGGCATTTCTGCTCATTATTCCTGAACTTGGCTTTGGAAATGAGGGACACTTGCACTGATTTTATTGTTTATGCACCTTTTCTCTTGTCTGTGTCTCTCAGGAGGAGCTCCAGACATCCCAGAAAATAAAGTGTTTGAACGACGGAGGATACGAGCTGCAAAAGTGAGTACTGTGTGTGAACATGAAACAAGAAGAAGCTGGCAAGACAGTGGAGTTTCTGTTATGAACATTATTTTCCTCTCAGTACTGATGCGAGGGCTCCCTCTGGTGTGCAGCTCAAGTGTTACAAACCTAACAGATTTTCTTCTCTGTTAACCATTTCATTTATCTCAGAGGGAGATTTCCATAATTTCACGTATCACAAACTTGTTCTCTAACAGTTTATCCCAGTAGTTTAATTCCAGTGAGAATCTAGTTGGGATTCAGACCTGTGTTTTTGTAGATAGAAGCTGCGAATTAATAGTTTGGTGTCAAACACACAAAACGGTAGTGATGGGAGAAACACACCTTGAACCAACTGCTTCACAAAATGTCACAAAAAATGTCGAAGCGCTCAAAACACCACACACTGCTGACGCCTGCTGGTCAAAACTGTGTACATGCAACAAAAACTCAGACCAAAACATGCATAAAAACAGCTTTTACAAACCCATTGCAAATGTTTTATTGAAACTTTAACATACGTAACCCTGGAGCACAAAAGCAGTGTTAAGTCGCTGGGGGATATTTGTAGCAATAGCCAACAATACATTGTATGGGTCAGAATTATACATTTCTCTTTTATGCCAAAAATCATTAGGATATTAAGTAAAGATCATGTTCCTTGAAGATATTTAGAAAATTTCCTACCGTAAATATATCAAAACTTAATGTTTGATTAGTAATATGCATTGCTAAGAACTTCATCTGAACAACTTTAAAGATGATTTTCTCAATATTTAGATTTTTTTGCACCCTCAGATTCCAGATTTTCAAATAGTTGTATCTCGCCCAAATATTGTCCGATCCTAACAAACCATACATCAATGGAAAGATGATTTATTCAGCTTTCAGATATGAAGTGCCTGTATAAAATGTTATTTTATTAATTTGCAGGGCTTGTTTTGTTTGTTTTATGGAGGGCTTTTCTAAACAAGCCATTAAGAGACTATTAACCACTATTCTTCCTTTACACAAATGTCTCATTACAATGTCTACAAATTGATAAAACTGATCTGAGATCAGGTAAAAAAACATATATAATGAAGACATAATGAAGCCTCGTTTACTGAAATTACATGATTTTGTCAGTTTTATACACAATCCAAACCACTGGTTCAAAACAAAAGGGTTGCCAAGGTTTCAAAGCCTCATGAAGCAGTGCTTCGAAACACCCATCACTACAAAACAGGCATAAAGAATAATTTCACTTTAGTAGCATTATCACTAATTCATAGCAGTAATCAGGAGTTGCCGTGTTATTCCATTGTGAACAGAGGTGAAGGAACAGATCTGGCTCACTGTCTGTAATGGATGGCTGGAGACTTGACTAGTGAACGGTTGGATTAAATCAACATGCTCCTCCTGAGCTCCATTTAAAGTCAATAAATTGTGTAACCTATATATATATATATATATATATATATATACATACACTCTAAGTAATGGTAAAAATAAGAACAAAAACTGTCCTTGCATGTGTTTGCGTGTTGCTTGCATGTTCATCTCAGCGTGACAGTGGAGCTGTATTCCTGTGAGAGTGAAACAGTGTGGTTTCCCACCATCTGTTTTTTTGACTGTGAAGTAAACAATACTCATTTAAAATATAAATTAATTTGCTAAAGAAAGTTAAATGTCAACATCATCATTAAAACACTAAACAGATTTTTTTAAATGTAAAAAAAAAAAAAAACATTAATTGTAGAATGTGCTTGTGTTGTGTGAATGTGTTTGTTTTAGTCATCAGATGGTGACAGACGTGGAGAATAACATCACAGTGAACACACATCCACTGGAGAGCACAGTACTGATGTGAGTATATGATCAATATCTCCATCACTTATACTGCAGATATCACATTGCCACGGGTGATTATCATTACCGGTGCTCCGCTGTCATGGGGGATTATGGATATTACAGTGGTCATCACTTTATCATGGTATTCCTTCATTAATTTGCAATCAGTTATTATGAGTAATTATAGCTATTATCAGTAATTTCTGTATTTTATTGTTATATGTGATTATAGGTATTTTATTATCAGTACCTCCTTATGGCTTCAAAATCCACAACAGCTGTGTTAAGATCTTCATGATGAACAAAATGTGTAAGAATTAGGGATGGAACGATTACCGGTTTGATGATAAATCATGATAAAATTCCCCACGGTTAGTATTACCGTTTCAGATTTTAATTATCATTAAAACCGTATTAGATTACCGCGATTTGAACAACTCAGGATAAATAAATGCTATCCAGCATAAAGCAGAGATTTAAGTAACAGCACAGCACGCAGAGTAGCCTAGTTTCATTTTGTGTGAAAACATGGCGGAGAGCTGCGATGTTTTAAACGAGTGCTAAGGCAATTATACAAATGAATATATTAATTAATTACGGCATATGAATGTACCTCTGAAGATTCTGACTGTCTTCAGAAAAGATTGCATGGCGTTTTGTTTTCACCTTCGCTCCGTGTAACAGCTAATAAACTAGTGTTCTTTACGGGAAACAGCTGTAATTCTGCTGCTCCATCAGCGCCACCTGCTGTCACAGAGTGGCTTTACAGAGACTCACATTCACATTCAGTCTGTGTGCAGCTTCTGTCCGGACAAAAAACAGACCGGATTTACATGCCCTGCTGTCATTTATGACCAGTTGATGAAAAACAAGCTTATGTGGATTCTACACATTTAAACAATTCAGATAACGCATCTAGAATTATTTATGAAGCATGATAAAATACATATAATCGTTTATTAATCAATTATCATTTTGACTTGACCCTTTTCTTTATTTAAAGGCTGAAATGTGAGGTTTACCATTTTCTGAAACCTTTTCAAAGCTGTATTTGAACATTTTATACATTTCATAATGTTGTCAGTCATGTTTTAATTTAAAATCCGGACATCATTAGTAATGTTATTGTTTTAATGTTTATGCAAACAAAAAGTCATTTTATTTGTTCTTTGTTGTTTTTAAATATAAAACTTCATTTCCAACACATTTTAACAATACCATGATACTACTCATAAACATTATAATTTTGTTCACTATAATAGTGATAAGAAATTTTCATTCCGTTACATCCGTTACACTGTAAAATAGAGTGTTAGCAAATGAATCGTATCTTTGCTCGTGTTATCCATCAGCATCCAGCATGACTGGCGAGACTTCCTGCAGACACAGGATATCCTGGAGAAGAGAAGCCCCTCCCCTCCCTCTCTGTCCTCAGACAAGATGAGCACGTCCATCAGCATGATCACCCTATCAGACGGCAGCACCCCCGTAAGCCCCGCCCTCTTTCCTCTTCCGCAGGCTGATGGTGTAGATGCAGGAGTTTGAGGTGTTTGCCAGGTTTAGGTCAGTTTGGTCTGAAAGTCGTGCCGTTGTGGAGCATCAAATGTATTTGGTAATGCTTGTTTTCAGACATGTTCCCTGGTAGTAATTAAGGTATTATTTGACATACCTTTGACACACCTATTATATTATGTATTATATATTATGTAAATAAGGATATGGGGCAGTTGTTCTTCTGTGCTGAGAAGATTGTGACTGTTTTGTTGTTTGATTAAATCTTATGGAATCTGAGTATCTCACGCTCGGTTGAGTATCTCATATGTGACCAGAAGAGGGATCTGTTGTTTAGGCGTTAGTGTACAGTACAGGTTAACACACACACACACACACACACACACACACACACACACACACACTCACTCACTGCAGCTTTTATCCACTGTTCAGTTAATTTGTTTATGGCTGTTTTTACAATATATGTAGTTGCAGTTTTAGAAGAACAGTTGAGTGTGTACACCAGGTGATCACACACACACACACACACACACACACACACACACACACACACACACACACTCACTCACTGCAGCTTTTATCCACTGTTCAGTTAATTTGTTTATGGCTGTTTTTACAATATATGTAGTTGCAGTTTTAGAAGAACAGTTCATGCCGTATGCAGGAGTGTGTTATAGACAGGTTATGGCAGGAAATGGAAAAAATATATATATTTTTGGTGTGTATTGCATGTAATCATAAGCACATTAACATGTGACCACACACTTTCACGCCAGTGACGTCGGTTGAGTGATTAGAAACTTGGGCTGTGTCTGAAATCTCATACTCTCTGAGCAGGTTTCTTTTGATTCATTAAACAAGCATGTTCTCTGTAATATGAATGTGTGTAGTATGAACATAATCTGAATATCTGTGATGTTGTCATTGTCATGTGATCTGCCAACATCAGTTGTGTCACTTCACTGCGATTCACAAATCCTCTCCCGTGACCTCAAGGGATAGTACAGTGTCCATCGGATGCACACTTTAGAGTCTCGTTGGAAGTAGCTGGTCATCCCAGCACTTTACATCTACTGTTTTATGAACATGAATTTGGACATACTACTGTTTATATAAGTTCCCTTTCAGTCGGTCACTCCGAGTCACGTCGGTGACAATGAATTGGGATCTCGCTTCGAGAGACCAATCTTTTTAGAGTGTAAACTAAACGAGCCAATGCACATTGGCATGCGATGATTGCATCCAGCTGCCGCTGATCACAGCATGAACATAAAAAGGCAGCAGGTGCAGCGCATACCAGCTTTTCACTTCGGAGCCAAGCGACATCATCGTTCTGCTCCTGTAAAGCTTCGTGTGAGTATGACAGGTTCACGACGGTGGTCGTTCCTGCATCGAGTGGGTTGCGCACTTCAGGCTGCACTACCCCCTGTTGTGCTGCATGTGGCCATCTCCCCTGTGCGTCTCAGCACCTAAAAGAGCGTTTCCCTAAAAGAGCATTCACGGGTGTGTCTTTTTAAAGATGACGTTGTGTCTGGCAAACTCACCATTGCGCCTTTGTAAAGACGATGTTGCGTCTTGTTATAGACAACGTATCACCTTTGCGTTTCTGGATGCGGTCGTTACCTGGTGCCGGGTGATGGTCATGATTGCTGCCTCACGTGCCTGGGCATTAAGCACGCTGAGGGGGCATTCGTGGATGAGTCATGTTCTCATTGCGGGAAGATGATCATCTCAGAGTTGCAGGTCAGGCTATGTTACCTCGAAGGGTCGTCCTGGCTGCAGCCAGGTGAGGACTACTTCAGGCGGTGGCACAGGTGGTCTGAGGGTTACAGTGGTGGCAAAGCCTCCAGGGAACCAACCCTCGAGGGACCATCGCTCCTCTTGCGCTCCGCAACCAGTTGAGCTGCTTAAGGAACATGCTGGGCCCTCTACAAGGAGCGTATCAGCAGTATCCTTTGGTGCTTCTCCCAACGATCAGATGTTGATCGCTGCATCAGAGGGTGAGCCGGAGCTTTCTGGAGAGGAAGATTCGGCTGCGCTGCCGCCCTCCAGGCAGGCAGCAATGCCTGGGTCAGATCCGGAAATGATGGCTATGCTTTCACGGGCCGCTGAGAGGGTAGGGCTCGAGTGGAAAGCTCCACCGCATCCCGTGCCCTCGAGGTTGGACGACTGGTTTCTCAGGGTAGCTCACGCTGGTGCTCAGCACCCTGCCCCAGTGCCTTTCTTCCCGTAGGTGCATGAGGAGCTTACCAGGTCATGGACAGCACCTTTTACTGCCGGAAACCGACCTGCTAGCTCCTCCTCCTTCACCATCCTCGACAGTGGTGCAGTTAGGGGGTATACGGGGCCCCCCCGGGGGAGCAGTCGGTTGTGATGCAGTTGTGTCCTAATACTTCCTCCATCTGGTGGGGCAAACCATGCCTCCCCACCCAGGCCTGTGGGTACTTGTCTTGTCTGACGATTCTTATGTGGCCTGTGGAGAAGCTGCCTCCACCTTACATGCTACGGCATTACTGCAGATTCTTCAGGCTAAAGCACTGAGGGACCTGCACGAAGGTGGTCACGATCCGGAAGTTCTGAAAGAGTTCCGAACTGCAACTGACCTTGCGCTCTGAGCGATGAAGGTCACCGCGAGTTCTATCGGTCATGCGATGTCCACACTTGTGGTCCACGAGCACCACCTCTGGCTGTGTTTGGTCGACATGAGGGATGCCAACAAAGTTTGGTTCCTCAAAGATGGGCCACCAACTGCACTGGCATATCAGTTGCCTAGAGTTGTTAGCGGTGCTCCTTGCCTTGAACAATCTCAAAGGGTGCTTACGAGGCAAGCACGTGCTGCTCCAGTCGGACAACAATGCGACCGTTGCGTACATCAACCAACAAGGTGGTCTGCGCTCCCATTACATGTTGCAACTCGCCCGTCACCTCCTCCTTTGGAGTCGTATGGTTCTGAGGTCACTTCGTGCCATTCACATTCCGGGTCTGCTTAACTGTGCGTCATGAGTAATGAGCTGCGCTCCTGGGAGAATGGAGACTCCATCCCCAGACGGTCCAGCTAATTTGGATACGTTTCAGAACCGTTCAGGTAGACCTGTTTGCCTCCCCAGAAACCTCTCACTGCCAGTTGTTCTACTTCCTGACAGAGGAAACACTCGGCACGGACGCACTGGCACACAGCTGGTTGCGGGGTCTGCGCAAGTATGCGATTCCCCCAGTGAGCCTTCTCGCACAGACGCTATGCAAGATCTTTGTCTGTTGCGGAGGCTGGCAGAAGGGGAAGGCCGTCTCCAAGCAGAGGATGGCCCACTGGATAGTGGATGCCATC